ATTAATAAGAACTCAGTGAAACCAGCTGTTGGGGGCAGGAGGGAGGATGCACAACAGTACTCCCTTCCTTTCAGTGAGATTTTTTTCAGCTCTCCCTTTTGCTCAGGGCTTCCTCATAGCTTGTGATAATCTGTTCGCCTTCTGGGACCCTCTCTAGCAGGTCCCGGAAAGACAGAGCTGAGGGATGTGTGTCTTATTGCTGTGTGAGCCAGTAGCTGTTGGGAGAGGCACTGATCCCATGCAGGTTTTTTTTTTTTGGAGCAGTGATCTGTCATCTGCCTGCTGCAAAGCAGGCTTTAGGGGAGGTGAAGAGCTGGGTATGAAGAAACAAGGCCATAGATTAACTTAGCACTGATGATTTATTATGGAAGCCTCTTCATGGCAGGCTTGGCTAGAGGATGGATAAAAAAGCTTTTATCTTTTTTAGAAAATGAGGGAAGGCTGCTGCTGTCCAGCTGTGTGCATATGCCTGAGGGGGATATGTACCATTCCCTCCTTGTCTTGCATCAGGAGCAAAACTGCCCCCAGATTGCTACAAGTTGCCTTTGCTCTGTGTTACTTGAAGATCATTTAATGAGGTAAAGCTTTTAAAACTTGTCTACCTTTTTGAAACTCTGCTCCTAAGGGAGCTGCCCTCAGTCCCTTGGGCAGTAAGCTGTGGCTGTATGCTGTGTCCAGCCTCCCTGAGAACTGGTAGCAAGAGCCAGGAGATGTGAGGGTAAAGCTAAAGTAGGGTTGTGCTTGCGAGGACCCCAAGGTTCCTGCTGTGCTGCAGCCAAGGCAGCAGCTCTGCTCTTCAGCTAGCGTGGGCCTGGATCCAGCATCGGGCCTGGAGGGACCAGTGCAGGAACTGGGCTTGTAGGACTGGGTAGTGAGGGCTTAACTGCTAACTGCATGGCAGGGCTATGTGCTAGTATGCTGTGGGGCTTGCTCAGTCAGCACTGGGTGCCTCACTGAGCTTTTCTAGGCTGTTTTATCTGGGAGTTTTCCTCCCTGACTGGATGTCTACAGCCTGTAGCATAGCCTACACACTCTGAGCTGCTTGGCTTTGGTTTTGAAAGTGCAGTTTGAGGGCTCTGGCTGGAGGCAAGACAGTTTGGGGAGACTGGGGCCCCTGGCAGCAGCCTGTTCCCAGGAGCCTTCTAGGCCCTTGCCCCAGGCCAGGCAGGGCCCAGCCACCCCCTGCCTCGGGGCTGCTGCTGGGCTCCCAGAGGCAAGGCCTGCTCTGGGAAGAGTTGCAGGCCTCCAGCATGTGTTCTCATCTTTTCTAGCTGCTCAGCAGCCTTCAGGGCTCAGAAAGTTGATCCCTGGTCCTCCCTCCTTTGGTAGATGGGTAAGAGCGAGGGTGTTCAACCTCTCAGTGCTCATGCCTCTGCCCGCCCGGGTGCCTCCTCTATTAGGCCCTTTCCCTAGCGCATTGGGCAGAGAGACCCAGCAAACCCAGTCTGGTCTGGCCTTGGTTGCTGCCTGGAGAGGGCCTTGCTGGACATGAAGAAAAGCCCACAGCTATGCAATTACAGGGACAGAGCCACAGGCTAGGCCTGGCTCTGCCTCAGATCAGAGCAAGAGCTGGGCTGGGGCTGTCTGCACCTAGCCCCCAGTGTGGGAATGGGCTAGGACCTGGTTTGCTGTTCTCTGTCACAGAACGTTTAAGTCTCCTGCTCCTGCTTTGGCACCCATCGCAAGCACCAAAAAAGGAGCCGCAATCCTGGGTGCTGAGCTCCTGTGGCTAGGGAAGAGAGCCCCCCTCTTTTTGCAGGAGCACCCAGGCCTCAGCACCATGGTGCCCTTCGGCAGGGATATGTGGGACACCACTTCTCTGATTGGCTCATGTGCAACTGGGAAGAGCTGCCCAGGGCTCCAGCGCTCTTCCCCTTCCCTCCTCCCCCCCCCATCACCATGAGGGAAGCCAGCAGCATGGGGCTGAAATTGGGCTCACAGTGCGGGAGAGCAGGTGCCCACGGCATGCACCTCTGCCTCTGCCAGTGCTCCCAGCAAGCTGGTTTCCCAGCTCCCACACTGGGCCAGTGCCAACTTGGCTGGGGGGGGAGGGCCTGCTCAGACCCCAGCGAAGGCCTGATACCAGCCTATCCCTCCCCACTGAGTGTCAGTGGGTGTCCAAGGGATTGAGCCTGGTGCCAAGCCCAGCGGATGTTCTGCAGAAGGCCGCAGCTGACACAGCTGGCTCTGCCAATGCCTGGCGTGTGCCAGGCACCCAGGAGCCCCAGGCTCCTGGGCCACAGGCCCACAGAGAGTGAGTGGAGCTGCAGGGCCAGGGCACGAGGCATACAGCGAGTGCATGACCCAGCCAAAAACTCAACCTTCTGGCAGCCTTGTTGCTGCCCAGGTAGCACTGACAAAAGGGATCAATGTCCTGCAAGGCAGCCTGTGTCCTGCTCTTTCCCAAGGGGACGAGGCTCAAGCGCTCTTGGGCAGCCCCAACAGTAACGGCCATTGCATAGTGCTGCTGGATGGCCTTTACCATGATGCCGTGTTCTGCTTTATTTTACTTTACAATTTCAAAAAAGGCACCATAGGCAGGAGAGTGGGACGAGGAGGCTGGGCTGGCAGAGAGGCCATGGGGAGAGAGCACTGTGAGCACTAAGCACACGATGGCAGTGGCCTTCTGTGCACATGCTGCCAGGTTGGGCCTGTGCCAGGCCTGTGCTTCCCAAAAAGGGCCCAGGGCACCAGCCTGTCACTATGTGAGACAGAATAAATTACAACCTGTAGTGGACATGGAGATACAGATGACACAGCCTGCTCCTACTCTGCCAGCCTCCACTCTTCTTCCCATGCCACAGCCTTACAAGTCTAACGTTTCCCTCACTCAGACCCGGGGTGGGGGGGGCCTGTGTGCAACCATGGTCCCAGGACATCTGAGGTTTCCTCCCTTGAGCAACTGCAGCTCAGACACTGAGGACTCATTCCTCAACACTGGGACTGGGTGATGAGCACCTTGGAGGACCTGGGCTTGAGACTGGCAGCTCAAGGTCCAACTTAGCACTTGATTCACTTGCTGACTGACTCAAAACCTCTGTGAGATGCCAAGGCCAGAGGCAAAAGAATGAGCTAACACAGGCTTTGCAGCAGAGTTTATTAAAACAGCCAACTACAGGCATGGTAAACAGGCCATCACGCAGCAGTCAGCACAGGCAGAGTGTACCCAAAAATCACTCTGAACAGGTATCACAGGACTGTGGCCCCAGGAGCCCCAGCCAGCTACTGTGCCCTTCGGGCCATCAGCATCTCCCGGATGTTATCTTCTGCTTCTTTCACACTCCGCTCCAGGTATGACTTCTTCTGCTGCAAAGCAGAAAATCCAGAGGAGCGTTAATGCCCATCCCACCATTGACAGCATATGCCAGGGGTGCGGGAGTCAAGAAATTTTCAAGGAAAGCCTCCAACTAGCCTGATGAGGGTGCATAGGCCACTAGAGCCCTTCTGTGGCAGGAGAGCGGTTATGCATTTATTTCCTGAGGCATCCTGGAAGTGTGAATATTTGTGCTGTTTTTTTTTTTTTTTTTTTTGGCAGGACAATGATGTCTACACAAACCTTGAATTTTGTTTTCTCTGAACCGTTCTCCTCGCATTTGCTGGGTCAACAGTAAAGAGTTGCAAAAGGTTGGACACATTAACTGGCGTAATGAAGAAAAAGGAAATTAGATCCCGAAATGTTTGAAGCCTTACTATAAATTATTAATACCTCCTCATGCTGAGACCAATAGCTGACAGTAAAATTCTTTCAAACTCAGGTTAAAAAAAATAAAAATAAAAGATACAATAAAAGGCTGTTTCTCCCTGCTTTGCCAGTTTTCAAAAAAAAAAAAAAAGTCACCCTCCTTTCTATTAGCTGCATCTTCAGACATTCCCTGCCATTCTCATACAATATGTGTGTTTCTTTAATCATTTTTAATTAGTATCTGCTTGGCAGGGAACCAAACCAAAGCTGTGCATCCCAAGACAGGAATTCAGCAGGCAGTGCTTTTTTCCTGCTAGTCTGGGTACTCCTAGGTGATTGATTGGAAAAAAATCTGCACTTGGCTCTTTTGACTCTTTTCTCCGGGTTTCCAAATAGACACAGCAGTCGCGCTCGCCCATGGATGCCAGGTCCACAGAAAGCATGCCTATTTGAGTGCAGTCAGAGCGAACTGCTGGATGCAGCCCTCCTTTGGCGGCGGTGGGGAAAGTACCGCTCCAAATGTATTTCATTACAGGCTGCAAGGAAACCTCAGGGATGCTCCCCAGAGCCCAGCTTGGCAGAGGCATCAAAGAGCATCTTTTAGATCAGCCACTGGGAATGCAGTGTGTCGGGCAGGGCCTTTGGGAGGCACAAACAGGGCTTCAGCCAGGTGTACCTGCCCATATGCAAGTCATGCTGGCGCAATGGCTCACTATCCTCACAGCACCCAGCACAACAGGGTCCCCGTCTTGGCAAAGCCCACTCAGCACCACTGCAACACAAGGTTCGCAGCACTGCAGTGCCCCACAGCGAGGGCAGCTGCTCAGTCACAGTGTAAACAGCTGCTCCTCCACACTGACCTCAGGAGCTCAGTGACAGCTCAGGCGCCTGGCTGAGCTACGAACCAACAAGCATTTGCATGGTTATCCTTAAACTGCAGGAGTCTTGGCCTAAGCCTAGAGTTTCCTGGCATGGGCTACACTCCTCGCCAAAGACAGGCAGATGACCTCCCCCCCCCAGCCCCACCCCAGGAAAAGATGAATGGCCTCTAAACCCCACCAAAGCCAAGGACAGCTAAAAGGGGACACCAGAGGTCCTCAGCACCACTCAGCCTTACACAGGACAAACAGGAGGATCAGATGCAAAGGGAAAGCATGTGCTGCTCCAAGGTGCTTTCTCCCAGCCAGCAGTCCTTGGAGTGACTTAGCAGGAGGTGCATGGCAGGGGAGAGCTGCCCAGGGCATGAAGGGAATGGGATGAAGACAAGATGGCCAGGCCTCCTGATAAATCTTTGTGGATCCCCTGCACCTGCAGCCTCAGGGCTGCTGCAGGAACAGGATGCACATGACCATCGAGAGCATGCGCTGCCCTCCACCGAGCAGCATGGCACTCATCAAAGAGGGATGGGGGGGTGGTGGTCCAGGTGGTTTTAGGGTGCGAGCTTGGGGACAGAGCAACTCTGCCGAGCTGGAAAAGGCAAGAATTGCTGAGCTGATGCTCCCCAATAGCCTCCTGACTGACTCTTCCAAGACTACAGGGAGCCAGGAGGCCTAACGCAAAATGAAAACTCATCAGGACATGATACAATCCTGCTGCCATTGCCCCGCACCTGCCCCCTCACAGCAGACCTGCGGAGCAATGCTTCTGTACACTTCACTGCCGTAAGGACATCTCTTCCAGCCCCATTTCTAATTACCAATGGACTCTTAGTTGAACAGTAACGCTTGTTAACAACAGCCAGGGCAGCGGGTATGGGAAAGGGCTCCCTGTCTCTCTCCCGTGGCCCCAAACAGGGGGGCTCGCTCTTGCGCATAAGATCTGCTTTCCAGGAAACCACTGAGGAGGCATAGCATGGGCTCCTGCTGTGACTGACTCACCCCATGCAACCCTGATGCACTTGTGGGATTTCCGCAACTATTGCTCTGCTCTCACGCTGCTCCTGAAAGAAGCTGAGGGATTTTTTTTTTACAGTAGGGGAACTGAATCTGGAGGTGGTGAGGGGAGACAGGTCATAGAAAGGCTGTACGGCTCAGAGCTCAGAGGAGGTTCCCAGAGCTGTGCCCAGAGCAGCCCCCTGGGCTGGCTGGAAGGAGTGGCTTTAGCACAGCAGACTCCTAGGGACTCATTCATTACTCAACCACTTTTAATTATATTAGCCCACGAAAACCCCCCTGGTTGCGCCTTTCTCTCCCCTCCACTTCCCCTCGTGCCCACAGGGCAACAGCGACATTTCAAAAGAGCAGCTCTCTGCTGGCAGGCTGGCTCTGGCCGGGACCGTAGCAAGAGCTATGCAGCCCCAACTGTGGCGCTGAGCACCATCTGACCCACCAGGCTGTGAACACAGACACAGGCTCTGTCCCTGCGATACAGTGGGATTTCAAATGTCCACCGCTAGGAAACAAAGCTAGAGAGCCTTTGGGCCCTGCTTCCCTGAGTAAGAGGGACTCCGAGCACTAATTCTGCCTGAAAGGCTGCAAAAATGTTGCTGAAGGGAAGCAACATTTGTAGGGAAGGCACTTTGGGCCACAAGGATCCACTCTGCCCGCTCTCGCAGGGGTGTGCTTTACCTTCCGAATTTCTGCAAGGAAATGGGGAAACAACAGTGCTGGAGCTACACAGCTCATGGCAAAGGGACAGGGTTTAATGACATTTCTTTATTTAACCAATGCCTGTAGTCCTGAGCAGACCAGGATTCAGTGAATTTATATATCCTTCAATCACCCTCTTGGCTTATGTGGCTTCTGGCATGCACTGATGCAGGGTAGAGGACCCGGGCTGGTCCAGGTACTTTTACTCCTTTCTCCCAAAAGTGGCCTCCAGTAAGACTCATCCCTTCAGAGATGGTGGGAACAAGCATCTCAAAGAGCTGGGGACAGTTCAGGATCCAGCAGAGAGGGAACACTGGATGGCAAACTCCAACAGGCTGGAAACATACACCAGAGACAGGGAAACAGGGAGAGGAGAGCGGGGGAAAGAGGGCTGCAGAGAGGAGAGGCAGCACTCAGCCAGCACTCCTCAGCACCCAGTGCACTTACACAGCCCTGTGCTCACGGAGTGTCCTGCTGCAGGGGGGAAAAGAAACACAGGACCTCCAGCTTGGGACAGCAAACTTTCTAAGCTGCCCTCCAGACTGGCAGCACACAGCCCCATAGCCAGCACAGCAGCTGGCTCCCCCTCTGACTAATGGCTCAAGCCAAGAGGGAGTATGAAGCAGACTGTTGCTACATTTTCCAAACAGTAAGTGGAAGAAGTAAGGTGATGCTTCCTGAGGAGCTGCAGACTGGTTTCTGCTTAGGTAATCATGGAAGAAATAGCAGAAACTTGCGTGCAAACCCCTCCTTACCACAATTACTGGGGTCTAGACAGGAACTCAGTGTGACTCCCTAGTCCTCCTTCCTGGGAAGCAGCGTTGTGAGCAACCCGGGTTGACACACACTCTGCCTAGTCACACCAGCTCTGCAAAAGCCAAGTGAGGGGTCTGACAGCACTGCTCTTAAGTCATCGTTGAGGCTGTTCCAGCTCAGCCAGATCTGCTGGGCTGGTGGTGACTGCTAGTTGTATGAGAAACACCCTCTGCAGTCTCCCAAAAACCCACCTCCAAGCTTCCCTGAACTTGCAGAGTTTTATGTGCACTTGATCTGTGGCCCAGGTTAATTCTAGCTCCCCTTGCCCTACATATTGGGCCAGACTGTGGTTGCTAGGTGTTAGCTCTTTACTTGATTAGCTAGATATATTTTTCGATGTAGAGGTGTTTACAGCTCCAAGTATTCATTTGTTGTTGCATGCAGCAGCAAATTTCCAGTGCAATGCCAGAACTGTACTGCTAGTTTTGGTCCCTAAGGAAGCTGAAGGCTGCTGCTCCCTCCTCCCTGAGGATATTACTTCTGCAGCACCTTAGGCTCCTGCCTGGCAAGTGCTGGGGCTGACCCAGACATGGCAGCACCCTGACCCTGCAGGGTACACACACAGGAAGCCAAAAACTTCAGAGATCTGCAGAGAAGCTGCAAAACACATGTGCTGCAAACCGTTGATTTTGAGCTCCTATCTGCTCCCCACACCAGCAGTGCCAGAAACTGCCTTCCAGCACAGGAAAAACAGCACCCATCCATCCTCCAGCTCCAGAGGGCAAGACAGGGTGATTATCCAGAACAGAAAGACAGAGATACCACTGCATGAGTCATGGAGTCTCAGGGTAGGACTGAGAAAGGAGACTTGCTTTGGAAAGCCAATGGGATGAAGGTGACCCATACCACTCAGCTCTCAGAAAAGTCCATATTCATGGCCTCCAAGCAAGAGGGCCACATCTCCAACAAGGCTGGGCAGTCCCACAAGGAGCCAGCATTTCACCAGCAGCTGCACGAGAAGCAGGGCTGAGCAACAAAGGAGGAAATAAAGGGGACACAGCAGGAAGAGGCTGATTTGTCAGCTGATGGCTCTGGCTTCAGTAAAGGGGCAGTTCCTCCTTCAGGTTCATACTTACCACAGTCTGCTTGCTAGAGGTTTATTTACCAGTCAGGAAAATAAACTTCACTAACACTCAAGCAGTGTATTTAACACACAGAGCTTCTGAATGCCCCTCTGCCATGCTGAAGCACTCAGCCAGGGTGGTAAGTAAGCGCCCTCA